ATTCATAATAGTCTCTTATGATTCTTTGTATTTCTATGGTATAAATATTAATGTCCCATTTTTCAACTCTGATTTTATTTATTTGTGTCATCTCTCTTTTTTTCTTAGTTGAGCTAAACATTTGTCAATTTTGATTATTCTTTCAAAAAGTTAATTCTTCCTTTTGTTAATCTTTTATATTGTTTTTTCAGTCTGTTTCATTTATTTCTGCTGTGATCTTTATTTTTCCTTCCTTCTATTAATTTTGGGTTGAGTTTGTTATTGTTTTCTACTATCTTGAGCTATAACATTAGGTTATTTGAGATCTTTCTTGTTTTTTTATGTAAGCATTCATTGGTATAAATTTTCCTCCTAGAACTACTTTCACTATGTTCCATAGGTTTTGATATGTTGTTTCTATTTTCATTTGTTTCAATACATTGAAAAATTTTTTTCTTAACTTTTTTATTGATCCATTGATTATTCAGAAGCATATTGTTTAATTTCCATGTATTTTTAAATTCCCAAAGTTCCTTTTGTTATTGATTTCTAGGTTTATACCATTGTGGCCATAAAAGACACTTGATTGTTTCTTCTTCTATCAGTCTTATTTTATTCTTTAAACTTGTTTCATGGATTAATATATGATCTATCCTGGAGAATGTTCCATGTATGGCAAAGAATGTGTATTATGCAACTGTTAGATGGAATATTTTGTAAATATCTGTTAGATCCAAGCTAGAGTGCAGTTTAAATCAGTGTTTTTTGATTTTCTGTTTGGATAATCTCTCCATTGCTTGAAGTCCTGTACTATTTTTGTATTGCAGTCCATCTCTCCCATTGGATCTATTACTATTTGCTTTATATTTGTAGGTACTCCAATGTTGGGTTTATATATTTATATATATTTACAATTGTTACATCCTCTTGATTAATTGACTCCTTTATCAATATATAATGTCTTTTTTGGTTCTTTTTACAGCTTTTTACATAAAGTCTATTTTATCTGATATAAGTATAGCTACTCCTGCTCTCTTTGGGTTTCCAAAAATATTCCATGGAATATTTTTTCCATCTCTTCGTTTTCAGTCTATGTTTTTCTTGTGGATGAAGTGGGTCTCTTACAGGCAGCAAATAGTGAAGTCTTGTTTATTTTTATCCATTCTGCTACTCTATATTTTAATTGGAGAATTTAACTTATTTACATTCCAGGTAATTATTGTTAGGTGAGGAATTACTGCTACCAGTTTGTTAATTATTTTCTAATTGTTTTTTAGATCCGTTCTTCCCCTATTACTATATTTCTTTACGGTTAAATGATTTTTTTAAGTAATATGGTTTGATTTATTTTTAGTATATCCTCCATAGGTTTTTGCTTTGTAGTTACCATGAAGCTTACAAAAAAATTCATGACAAATTATTTTAAACTGATAAAAACTTAACTGATCACAAAAAGCACAATTTCTTCACTTTAACTCCATACCATCTCACATTTTTATGTCACAATTTACATATTTTTATATTGCATATCCCTTAACAAATTATTATAGCTATTATTTTTAATAGTTTTGTCTTTTAGCCTTCATACTAAACATACAGAAGATTTACACACCACCATTACATTATTAGAGTATTTTGAATTTTACTGTGTACTTACTGTTATCAGTGGGTTTTATACTTTCAGACTGTTTTCATGTTACTCATTGGTATACTTTTCTTTCAGATTGAAGAACTACCATTAGTACTTCTTGTAAGACAGGTCTGGTGGTGATGAACTCCCTCGGCTTTTGTTTGCCGGGGAAAGTATTTATGTATCCTTCATTTCTGAAGGACAGCTTTGTTAGGTAGTATTCTTGGTTTGTGTTTTTTTTTTTTTTTCCCCTCAGCACTTTGAATATATCACCCCATTCATCTGTTCTGCAAAGTTTTTGCTGAGAAGTCTCCTGCTAGGCACATTGGAACTCTCTTATTTGATTGTGTATTTGATTCTTTTCTCTTGATCCTTTCATCATTGTCTTTGATCTTTGACAGTTTGATTATAATATGTTATGGAGTAGTCTATTTGTATTGAATCTGTTTGGAGACTTTGGACCTTCCTGTACCTGAATATTTATATTTTTCTCCAGATTTGGGAAGTTTTTTTTATTATTTCTTTGAAAAAATAAACTTTTTTGCCTTCATCTTTTTCTACTCCCTTTGGAGTGTCAATGACTCATACATTCAATATTTTGGTGCTGTCCCATAATTCCCATAAGCTTTCTTCATTCCTTTTCATTCTTTTTTCTTTTTCCCCTCTGACTGTGTATTTTCTAATAACCTGTCTTCAAGTTCACAGGTTTTTCTTCTCCTTGATCAGTTCTTGTATTGATGTTCTCTATTGCATTTTTCATTGTTCATTGTATTTTTCAGCTCCAGGATTTCTTTTTTTTTTTTTTTTTGAGACAGAGTCTCGCTTTGTTGTCCAGGCTAGAGTGAGTGCCGTGGCGTCAGCCTAGCTCACAGCAACCTCAAACTCCTGGCTCAAGCAATCCTCCTGCCTCAGCCTCCCAAGTAGCTGGGACTACAGGCATGCGCCACCATGCCTGGCTAATTTTTTGTATATATTAGTTGGCCAATCAATTTCTCTCTATTTATAGTAGAGACGGGGTCTCGCTCTTGCTCAGGCTGGTTTTGAACTCCTGACCTTGAGCAATCCGCCCGCCTCGGCCTCCCAGAGTGCTAGGATTACAGGCGTGAGCTCAGCTCCAGGATTTCTGTTTGATTGGTTTTTTTATTATTATTATTCCAGTCTCTGTTGAATTTCTCTAATACATTTCTAAATTGTTTCTCTGTATTTTATTGAAGTTCCCTGAGCTTACTTAAAATAGGTATTTTGAATTCTTTGCCAGGCACTTAATACATCTCCATCTCTTTAGGTCCAGTCACTGGCACCTTATTTTGTCCATTTGGTATTGTCATGCTTTTCCGATTGTTCTTGATCTCTGTGGTTGTGTGTCAATATCTGTGCATTGAAGAAATAGGAAATGATTCCAGTTTTCACAGTCTGACTTTGTCTAGAAATGTCCTTCAGTGGCAAGACCATCTAGAAATTCTAGGCAGGTCACCTGCTGTGGTACCTTAGCTAGCGACTACTGCAGCCATTGCAGCACTAGGGGTGCTCTAAGCCTAAGATCACTGTGGATGAGACAGCGGCAGGTTGTAATTTCTTCACTGCTGATGCTGGCACAGTGCTGAGGTGGAATCCAAGGTCCCCCCCCCCCATCACTGAGTCCTGCCTGTCAATGTGTTTTATTTGGAGCTCAAGACTGCTATAGTTGGCTGGTAGTGATGCAGGCCAGAATTTGAGTTTTTCTCACAGGGGCTACAGGTTCCCATATGGCACCATGGTGGGTCTAGAGGCTCAGTCTGCATGTACCAGCCTGGAGTCAGGGGCTGTGGGAGTCTACTTGGTGTTGGATTTTTATTGTGGCCAACCTAATATTGTAGTCCAATGCAAAATCCTGTGCTTATTTCCCTCTCTTTTCCCCAAGCATACAGTATTTCTCTCTGCACTATGCTTCTGAGGTTGGGGGAGGGGTGATGAGGATACAATGTGAAACTGTCTTTTGTACCCTTTTCAATACTTCCTTTCTTCTTATTATTATGCTATAACCAGGTACCATGATCCCTCATCTGGTTTCCTTAGCTCTTGCAAAAGTATTTTTCATGTGGATAGCTGTCCACATCGTTGTTTATGCAGTGGGATGATCACTGTAGAGCCCTATTCCACCACTCTCTCTTCCTTGAAGTCATTTTGATAAATGAAAGAAGCCAGTCACAAAAAGCCACATATTATATGATATTATGTATACGAAATATCCAGAATAGAGAAATTCATACAGGCAGAAAGGATATTAGTGGTTGGGAGGGGCTGGGCGGAAGGGGAAATGGAGAGAAACTGCTGATGGGTACCAGGTTTCTTTTAGGAGAGAAATGGTTTTCTGGAATTAGACAGTGGTGATGGTTGCATGAATTTGTGAACTATACTAAAAATCACTGAATTTTACACTTTAAGGGATGAATTTATGGCATGTGAATTCTATCTCAATTTTTTAAAAAGAAGTTAGAAGCTACTTGAAAAAGGCCCACTAATTATGGTATATAATGAGAGATGAGAGCTTTAAAGGAAGGGAGAAGTGAGAAAAACTGTAAGGGAAAGGCAGAAAACCCAAAGATATATAAGAATATGGCCCAATTCAGCAAAGTGACAAAATACAGCTGCCTTAGCCATGTGGGACCAGTTCTTCCAGCTTTACTCTCCCATAAATACACATCCCCCATAAATCCCAGAGAATGGTAACTTATGTCTGCCTTTAGGACAAGATGGATTATCTATCATCTCATCAAATATTGTATGTCGAGGAAGTTCCTAATTATAAAACTGAGCCACAAGAAAAGAAATTAAATTATATGAAGACATTGAAATATCTTTAAAAGACATCTATCAAAGAGTTCATTTTTTAAAAAATATTTTTAAACTTTACTTAAGGAGACATTTTTACTTATGCAGGAAAACTCATTCCCAAAGAATGGTGTATTAATGAATTGCTATTGTATTTACTTCTTTTTTTTTTTTTTTTTAGTTTTTTTCTCTATGACCTTTGTAATTTTTACTTTCTTTCCTTGGTTTACTTTTCCTTACTCCCATTCTAAGTATGCTTTACTATTTATTAAGCAGTCATATTGAGCAATGAGGATAAATTAAATACATGAAATGGTATGCCTTCCTTTGCAATTCATATACATTGCAAATATGAAATAAACTTAATATAATCAATAATAATTTTCTAGAGATTAGATTAATGACTTTTGAGTTTAAAAATACCACCATATTTCACTTCTGAGGTATCCTTGAAAATCAAATGTAGAATAGGCACCTTACTTAAAATTCTCCTTTGAATATCAATTTGAATGATAAACCTACAACTAAAATGACTTTCAAAAATTATGGCTAATAATATTATTTCATTTTAATTATGCAGGAAATACCACACTCATTTATTACAGTTTGATGGTGAAGGAGGTTGGCGCTTTGAACAATTGGATACTGCTATCCGTTTGACATTGAGTGAAGAAAAACAAAAGCTAGAATCTCAGCTAGCTGGAATTCCCAAAATGCAGCAGAGACTCAATGAACTATGTAAAATTTTGGGAGAAGACTCAGTGCTGAAAACAATCAAAAATGAAGATGAAACATCCTAATTTGTTTTGATATGTTTTAAAAGTTAATTTTTCGGTAAAGGCTCAGAGACACTCTGTAATACTGTATGCAAGTATGTTAAGCTAAGCACAATGAGGAAAAAAGTCAGCAAGGAATGTTTTATAATATTTTAGCATCAAGGAAGTATATGATCTGACTTTTCAGAAGAAAATAAACAAGTGCATTATGTAAGATTAGTCATTATGGCTTATATACTAATTCCTAGTGAAGGCCTAATTCACCTGTAAAACAGGATTTTCTAGGTGAATTCATGATGAATATCAGATTTACTATGTATATGTGATGTGTTTGAAGTCCTTAACAAACATGGGTGATATCTCAGAAATGAAACAACTTAAGAGTGGCATGTGGGTTGATATCAGGTGCATAAAATTAGAACTTTGAGTAACATTTAGTCCATTTATAGTTGATACTAGGTTTAATAGTTAGAATTCATGTTGATCATTACTAGCGGCCAACTAAACCTGTATGCAGAATAGCTGACAGTTTGATAAATAATTCCAACATTAAAAAATTCTTTTAATGACAGTGGTTGAAACAAAAAAGCATGGCTATATATGTATAAAATGCCATATTTTTAAATTTTAGACTTTGAGCATCTTAATGAGGGCACATAACAAATTAATTTTAATAAGAATCTTACATATTTGTTAATAAGCCCTTTCATTTTCAAAAGAGAATTGCCAACACAGAAAAGGAGTATCCAAAAGTTGTTTGTCTCAGCCTGTTGCTTTACTTGGCAGCATTATCTATTGTAACTTCTGTTCAGAAATGCTGAGCTTGTTTTTGTGCCCAAAGGAGGAGTCCACATTTTTAAAAATGCAGTGATATAATAGAATATAGTGATTCTGAAAATCACAGTAATAATAACATACATTGCAATCCCACTTTATGTAATCATTTAAAATCCCCATTTGCATCATTTCATTTTAACCCTTTGAACTCGCTTGCTTTTTTCTCATGATCCACTCGACATTATCCACACTCGACATTCGAGTGCAAGGGTTAATGCTTGCAGCAATGTTTTGAGATGCATATTATTTTTCTTACTTTGCTTCTGAGAAAATTGACATTCAGACTTGCCCTAATTATGCAATGTATTTAGGGACAGATTCACCCTGGTTCAGTGCTGTTTCCACTATTATTCTTTAAATCTAATTGGGTTAGAATATCGATACAAGTTAGATGAGATGTTGAAAAAAAAAAATAAATTTGGTAATGCTAGTGTTGCTGTTAATTTGGTTATTATTTACAAGAAATGAAAATTAAGTACAAAATAGAAAAGGCATTGGTCTGTGGTTTCAAATGAGCCAAGGAAGTTAGCAAATCTTTCAGTGACTATGCAGTCTTAGTATCAGTGTACCTCTAAGATATCAGCATCAGAAGGGCAATTAATTATGTTTTTGATAAATTTAATATTTATTGAGCATAATGAGAAATAATCTGTATAGACCAATCATATGAAATAGATCTTATCTATTTGTGTGCCCTGGAAATGGAAGTACAAAAGCGGGGACTGAAACTTTAATCTCTTCCTGCCCATGCCACCTTGCTGATAGACTAGAAAAAAATCAGAATGATCAGTTGTTAGGGGTTTAGGATTTTATTTGCATATTTAGACATAGCCATAAAAGACACTAAGTCAGTGATTCTTGCTTTTTCAAGCAATAGAGTACATAGAAGTCATTCATAATAGTTGATGTAGAACATCATAACATTTCCACAATTTTAATTCTTGCCATGACAACTAGGACATTTTAATTATCAATAAATGTAACCATCGTATATGAAGGAATGTAATATAAGAAAATAATCAGCACATCTGTCCAAGTGTTTCTGTTAGTATCATTAGCTACTCATTTATTCATTTGTCAGTTACTAATACTTCTTATTAGAAAAGTGAGGCAGGAATTAAAGGTTTAATAAAATCATGGAATCCAAGCTTAAACGCGCTAAAAAATTTCCATTAATCTGAACTTCTATGTTAGCAGTTATCCAGTTTATACTGTTATAAGGGGAAAAGTATGAGGCAAGTTTATTAGTAAGTTAACTTTTAAAGGTGTAAGAAGAAGATGAGAAGTCTTCATGTGAAACGTGCATAATTTTTATGGCTTAATTTTCATAGTTTCAAAAATAAAACATTCGGGACCTGATACTTTGTGTTTTGAAACTTTGAAAAGAATGCTAAAACAAAGACTATATTTGTAATGAGCCATTATTTAATGTCTTACTAATGAGCTGAAGTAAAAAAGATTCATTATTTATAATGTGCAGGATCCAAGGATGTTAATATTCTCTCTTAAAAACTATACACACTGAAATTTAAATGTTAACTTTCTAAGATGAACATGTTTTCCATGAGCTTTTCATCCCTATTTATTTTCTCATTCACTTGTTTTCCCCCTGACCAATACCCTCTATCTTAGAGAGGAAAAAAATCACCTGTGATTTGAATTTGTATTTACATATCATTAAAATGTTTCCAAAATGATCCAGTGCATATACCATATTTACTATTCTTATAGTTATATTTCATGAAAAAAAAATTCAAAAGATTGAGAAAACTAAATAGCCATCTTTGAATATAGCAAGGAATAGATGAGGAAAGGAAAAAGAAAGAATATTTCAATTTTGAAACTGCTTTTTCATGTTATCTATTTGCCCAAACTTTTAACTTCTTTCTTTTTGTCAAAAAAGTTATATATGTTATGAAGTTTGATTTTTAAATGTGCACTTTTGAGAGTAACTATTAAACTTGGAAAATAAGCTGCATTCTATGAAAATGCTGTGTTGTATTTCTACAGCATGTGGTGTTATGCCAAACTTGAATCTAAAATTAGCATCTGTTCTTGTTAACAGGATCCCTCTGGAATAATCTCAAGAAGAAACTCAACCCAAGTTTACATTTGCTTACAATGGGAATGGTTTTCTCTTGATAGTAATTTGTTTTTGTCTCTAATTTTGGTCTGTCAGGAAAGGTATAAATGAACATGTTAGTTTATTTGAAACACTGGTTCCAAGTATAATTTTGCATTTGGCAATAGGCATAGTCTTTTACAATCTGTTTGGGATTGTAGTTTTTTTTGATTCTATAAGCCTAGAAAAAAATCTGTTACACATTGGAACCTAAATTCAGAGAATGTTACTTCTGAGATGTGCATAAAGTGGTCAAGGTTATTAAATCATCAATTAAAAGAGATGCCTTTCATATAATTACTTTATGGGCAAAAATGATCCTCATTTAGCAATATAAAGTACTTTCACATAACCTAGGGTATTTGCAGTTCTGCTGACATACATTTGGATATGTCAAATATGTTTTGGAGTTGTACTTTTAATGTTTGACTTATGAGAGCTTTTAGGTGGATGTATAAAATATTTTTATTAAAAACAAATCCCTTCTTCATTATTGGTGCCTTTCCTGATTACCAAGTACACAGCTACTTTAACATTTTATATTGTGAAATTTTCAAAACCAGTTGCCTATTTATAAGCTGGAGTTGTAGTAATTAAACTGAATGAGAAAAATGTCCTTAATGGTAAAAATCACTATGTAGCTAAATGAGAATGTGGCTGTGTGCGAATACAATATAATATAGTGTCCATCCAGTGTGCAGGTACTTAAGCTCATCATTCCTTGTGAATTCCTAATCATCATGAAAAAGCCTTGATTAATCAAATGAATTACAAATTATTCCAGTGGTAGAAAATACCCTTTTTCTGTATTTTAAATGACTGTTGTAGGTGTCTACATAAACCTCAGTTACAAATTATATTGGGCACAACCTTGTGTAGTACTATGCACAATAGTCACCAAATAGTTGTTTAAATATTAATTTTTAAATTTTTTTTGTTAATGAAACACATTTATTAAGTACCTTCCATGCCAGGCACTATGCTACATTCTAGTAATAAATAAAATATGCTCCCTCTCCCAAGAATCTTATGGCCATTGAAAATTAGAAAAATGAGCCCCCCCCCAAATCAGGAAAAAAAGTCAATAGCTACATTTTTTTTTTACCAAGTAGGCACAAAGCATTGCATATGCATTGACTCATTAAATCTTCACAGAATTGTAATTTAATAAAAGAAGAAAGTTAAGACAGAAAAGTTAAATAATTCATTTAGCCTCACACAGCACCTAAGCTGTAAAGCTGAAATTTGAAACCAGCAATATTTGATTACAAAGCCTATGCAACTCCACATCACCTTTTTTTTTCATTAGTTTAGGCCATTTTTATGCTTACTATTTTTTTTTTTTTTTTTGAGACAGAGTCTCGCTTTGTTGTCCAGGCTAGAGTGAGTGCCGTGGCGTCAGCCTAGCTCACAGCAACCTCAAACTCCTGGGCTCGAGTGATCCTTCTGCCTCAGCCTCCCGAGTAGCTGGGACTACAGGCATGCGCCACCATGCCCGGCTAATTTTTTTTTATATATATATCAGTTGGCCAATTAATTTCTTTCTATTTATAGTAGAGACGGGGTCTCGCTCTTGCTCAGGCTGGTTTTGAACTCCTGACCTTGAGCAATCCGCCCGCCTCGGCCTCCCAAGAGCTAGGATTACAGGCGTGAGCCACAGCGCCCGGCCCTATGCTTACTATTTTTAACTGAAGTATTAAGTATAGTTTTTACTGACTCAAGGTTTCTGGTTAACCAAATGGATGCATTTTTCATCTAAAAAGGGAGTTTATATGACACATTATATTTTTTCATTGTTTTCATTATAAATTATGGGTGTTGTCCTATGGGAGGGGGAGAACACAAGGCAAATTTTCAATGTTTTGAAGAAAAAATGTCAAAACTTATCATTATTCATTCATTCAGTTAGTACTTATTGACTCCTCAAGGTACCAGTTACTGTGCCAGGGATTGAGAGATGAACAAGACAGACCTGGTCTCAGCCCTCATGCAACATTTTAGTACAACAGTATTAAATAATTACATGCCTCTTACATATTGTGGTTCCATATAAGTGGCAAACTTGTTTTGTAGTTATCTTTTCAGCTCTCGTAGTCCCTGAGACCACTCCGTTGCAACCCATAAGCAAATAGGCACATTCTGACAGTAAGATTCCCTTGGTTATATGCTTTTAAGGCCCTCACAATCCTCATGCCTTCCAACTTGGACAATCATAAGGTGCAATAAAACCAGTTTGTAGGACTGTATCATCTTTCACCAGTAGATGGTCCCATATATTTAGTATGTTGTCTTGAAATCTGAGACACATTAGCTTCTCAAGTTTAAATCATGTGAAATGAGCCAGTTTTAAACATTCAAAAGTATGTCTCTCGTGTTGTCACAAAATACAGATAGCTCTGGCAGCAGAGTTCTAAAAAGCAAAAGAAAAATCAATAATTATAAAATTTAATAAATAAGACTTTCAAAGTTAAACACATTTAAAATTACATAGTCTATTTCAGTACTTGTGACCCAGGAGAGACAATAATGAGATTAAGTATTCACTTTATGTGTTTTTATGTGATTTAATATCTAAAAAAATAGATTATATAGCAATGAAGCAATGAAATATTGTTAAACGCTAAACAATATTGACTTAGCTAATTGTTTAATTATAGTTAATCCATATAAAATAGGGGAAACCTTATATATCAAATATATTTAATTTCTATATAATGAATATTTTAAACTTAATAATTAAAATTGGGACTGGACATTTGCAAATATATAAAACTGAAAACTGGACATTTGCAAATATATAAAACATATATTTGCAAATATATAAAACTGTTTTATATATATATTTGCAGTTTTAAGACTCACATAAGGAAGGATTCACAAAAGAGTTCCTATGATCAGATGACATCCATTGGGAAGCTGATATAATGAGATCTTTTCAACATACAGATATTGATATTTCCAGAGTGACAAAGACTGATGAAGCGAGTGTCAAAATCCCCTTGTTTAGGCTAGATTGTTTTTCATATGGGACAAGTTTTTAGGGTCTAAATAAATAAAGCTAATGAGGATACAAGCAGATACAGATACTCTCGAATTCTGATGGGGTTACATCCCGATAATCCATTATAAGTTGAAAATATCTTAAATCAAAAATACACTTAATGCATGTGACCTACTGACCATCAGAGCTTATAGCCTGGCCTACCTTAAATGTGCTCAGAACACTTACATTAGCCTACATTTGGGCAAAATCATCTGGCAACACAGTACACTGTAGCATATCTATTATTTACCCTTCTGGTCACGTGGCTGACTGGGAGCTGGGGCTCACTGTTGCTGCCGAGGAGTGCAAGAGAGGATGGTATTACATACATCTAGCCCTGGAAAAAATAAAAATTAAAAATTTGAAGTACAGTTTCAACTGATTGTGTATTGCTTTCATACCATGGTAAAACTGAAAAATCATAAGATGAACCATCTCAAGTCAAATCATCAAGCCAGGGACTGTCCATACATATTTTTTCCTGCAGCCTAACATACACACACACACACACACAAAAAAAAAAAAAAAAAAAAAAAATCCTTAGAAGTTTAATACAAAGCACCGGAAAGATTTTGAGGACTTAGGTAACTAAAGTTAAATTTTTTAATGCAGTAAAAATCACATAGCATAAAATTCATCACCTTTAGCGTTTTTAAGTGTACAGGTTAGTAACGTTAAGTATATTCATATTGTTGTTCAACAGATCTTGAGAACTTTTTAAACTTGCGAATCTGAAACTCTATATCCTTTCTACTCCCCTTTTCCCCCAACCTCCAGCTCCTGGTAACCAACAGTCTACTTTCTGTTTCTATGAATTTGACTACTTTAGATACTTCATATAAGTGGAATCATACAGTATTTGTCTTTTTTGTGACTGGCTTATTCACTTAGCATAATGTCCTCAAGATTCATTCAGGTTGTAGCAGGTGACAGGATAGTCTTTCTTTTTAAGGCTGATTAATATTCCATAGTATGTATATGCCACATTTTGCTTAAACACTCACTTGGGTTGCTTCTACCTCTTGAATATTGTAAATGGTGCTGTGTGAATATGGGTGTACAGTTATCTCTTGAGATCTTGTTTTCAATTATTTTGGATATATACCTAGAAGTGAATTGCTGAGTTGTAAATTTTTTTGTGGAACCTCCATACTGTTTTCCATAGTGGTTGTACCATTTTACAATCCCACCAAAAGTGCACAAAGGCTACAGTTTCTCCACATCCTTACTGACACTTATTATATTCTTCTTTTTTGATAGTAACCATCCTAATGGGTATGATATGATATTGTGGATTTGATTTGGATTTGTCTCATGATTAGTCATATCAAGCATCTTTTCATATGCTTTTGGCTCTTTGTATATCATCTTTGGAGAAATGTCTATTCAGGCTTTAGCCTGGAAAAAAATTTTTTTAATTAAAAATTGTTTCATGATATTCAAGGCCCACCATCACCTGGCCTCAATCTGTTTCCTCTGCTTTCAAATGTTAATAGCTGTCTCTCCTTATCCCTCCTCCATTCCTCTGCTCCCCATTCCCTTGGCTGGACATGGTGGGTGTTCTCTTTTACTTTTCCTCTTATTCATTTTATTTTCTCAGCCACGAATGTCCTTGTCCTTACCCCACCATCTTTGGCTCTCAAAACCCAAGTTAGCTTCAGAGTCATTTTAAATTCTTTCCAGTTATATACTACGTTTTCTTTTTTTTATGCTTGCAGAGGACTTAACTTGAAATCTTATTACATTGATCACATGCTACCTTTTATTATTTATTTGTGTACTCGTGTATCTTCTCTAATCATTCATTCACTCAATCATTTATTTTTTTGTTGCATAATCTTCTCAGACTATTTAATCTAAAATAATCCCCCCAACCAGTCCCTCTCCAACATGTCACCCAGTTTCACTTTTTATGTAACTTACTGTTATCTCCATTTATTTTATTCACTTATGTGTGAATTGACTCTCTGCCTATCACCTCTGCCCTCCTTAGACTATAAGCTCTGTGGGCTACGAATCATGCTTGTCTTATTTGCCATAGTATTCGTGGCACTTAGAACAATACATGGCAGATAGGGGACACATAACAAGTATTTGTTCAATAGATACCTAAATGAATGAGTGAACAAATTATAAAATAATATAGCAAATAAAAATCGCATAAAAACAAATATATGAATGCAAGAATAAAATGAATTCGTGAGAATGAATAAAATCCCTGAAGGAGAGATATAAAAGAG